ATGCATATAAATATATTAACATTAAAAAAATAGTGAAGCAAAAAAATTTATTATAATTTTTTTTAAAGTATATAAAATTATTTTAAATATCAAGAATATTATTTTGAATGTTATAAAATTAAATTAAATATTATTAAATTAAATTTAATATTAATAAAATATAAAAATATATATATATAATAGTAAATTTAATTTTATTTTATTTAATTTAATTTATAATATTAAAATTAATAGTTTTGATATTTAATTTTTATATATTTTTTAATTTTCTTAAAATACTATGACCTCTTTTACAAAATGTATTTTAATTTTTAAAAAGATTATGCATTATAAAAAAATTAAAAATGGGAGGGGAGTTGTGACACTATAAGTTTTTCTTTTGTTAATTATTATCTTTTAGCAACAATTATGTGTTGTGGTGTTAAGAGGTGTAGTGTTGGGAGACTCTCCAAGTTAAAGGATTCCTGAAAAATCTTTAGGTGTTTTAGAGAGTTTCTTTAGGTAAATGTTCAATTTGACTTTGAGAGGAAAAATATATAAAGTTTATTTTTAAAATTGAGTTTTATAAGTTCAGTTATAAGAGAACCTTAAAGAGATTCTATAGAGATGAACTCTAGAGATTTTGAACCTTCTTCTTTCTTTCTAGACTCCCTGGGAGAACAGTAGATCTCTGTTGGTGAATGATTGTTGATCGGAAGCTTTTGGCTAAAGGTCATCCTTATCAAGTTGTGTTGTAGAGCTTCTCGAAGTTTGGAAGCTCAAAACTAATTCTTCCTCACTCCCTCCTCTTTTGCTCAAAGTTGAGGTAAGAGAAGTTAGGAATGATTTATTGATAGATTATTGAGTTGTTTGTTGTTTATTTCCACTAATGATGTGTTGAGGAGTTGGATTCTCAAATTGTATGAGGGAGTTGTGTTAGCCCCAGTTTACTAGAATCTAGAAGGGGGTTTGAATAGATTATATTCTAAGATGACTCAACTTTCGACAATTCTTGATAAAAACCTACCAAGATATCTTAAGCTCAACGTTTACTCAATTTGATTAAACAAATAACAGTAGATTACAAGGTTTATTACCAAAGTATCAGAATATCAAAGTTAATGCAGCGAAACAATCACTTCTAATCAAGGTTGATTTTATATTACCTTCTTCTTAATCAATTATAATTACAAGAATAATGATCAGAATTTATACTGTAATTGAAATTTCATATCTCATAAATCTTTGAATCCTTTAAACAAGAAATTAACAAGATTCTTAAAGATAAAGGTAAGAAGATAAAGAACACATAAATTTATACTGGTTTAGTTATCCACTTGGCCTACATCCAGTTTTCCCTGACTTAGCAACCCACTAAATCAAAGATCATTCACTATAATATTGTTTACAAACACCATGCACACACAATATTACAAGAATTGAAACAAAAACAAATCTTGACATCACAAGATTGAAAACATACAAAAATTTTGTACCCCACGGAAATTACTTGAGAAACCCTACTCAAGATTTCAAAATCTCTTATTGAGATACTCTATCTCAAGAGATACACCATTCAAAACGAAAATACAAGTTTAAAGATAAAAAATATATCACCTAATTTCGTGTAGATATTGATCTTTCGTATTTGAATACACTTCTTGAATTTCTTCCTTTAAGAACTCATGTTCAATCTTTGCACTTCTTGATATTTCAGAAAAATTCTTTGATCAGCCTTGATTCTTGTTTCTGAAAGTAATCTTTTTGTAATGTTCTTTTTTCAAAATATTTTCTAAAAGTTCTCTTTTAATTTCATAGAAGACAATTATTTAAAGTGCAAGATGTGATTCAGCTATAAAGAGTAATAACAAAGGTAATCTATTACCTAATATGGTAATCTGTTACCAGCTCTTTAAAAATGAACTAGAAACACAAAATCACCCGGGTAATCGATTAGGGGATATGGTAATCGATTATCCCGAGCCTTCTAAGATCCAAGATTGCCTTTTAGTTTGAGGTAATCGATTATCTCATGTGGTAATCAATTATCCCATGTGGTAATCGATTATCCCAACGAAAACTTTGATTATTCAACCTTATTTCAACCACGAAACTTTGTTTTAATCTATTACCAACTTTGATAATCTGTTACCTCAGAAAATACTTTATTAGTAACAGACGTGGTAATCGATTAACTTAGAGGACATTTAAATATCTTTTTCTAGTAACAGACTTGGTAATCTATTACCCTGAATGGTAATTGATTAACAATGTTACCTTAAAAACTCTTATTTGAATCAAGTCATATTTCTATGTTTAAACACTTAGTAGTAAATTACCCTTTTCAAGATAATCTATTACTTTATGTTTACATATGGAAATACTAAAAAATCAAATTCTTGGTTTCTTAAAAAAACTTGATTAGTTCTTGAATTTAGCATTCATCATCAGCATCAATCATAAACAAACACACACACAAGCCTATATTTATTACAATTAATACAATATCCTTTTTTATAGCTTTAAGCAACATCTATATAATGCATCATCAAAACTAAAAAAATCTTGAGGAGTCTTCAAGATGTTTCATCATCTTCATCATTTCAACAATCTCAACAATCTCTAACAATCTCCATCATCTCAACAAGTTGTTTGGTTGTGGTGTTTTGAGACATGCTTGAATTGAAAGTTAGGATTTGATCCAATTTTATGTTGCATATTGTTCTTGAGGCTGAAAACATGTTGCTCATGTTGCATATATATAGAATATTTCCTTGCATGTATGGTTTTGTTGAGTTTCAAGTGGTGTGGGCGAATTTGTGAGTCTGCATTGTGCTAAACTCACTGTCGCACTAAGCATGCCTTTAAGACATCGGACGTGGTTTAATCAAGGACACTCTATCTTGCTCATGCTAAGCACAATATTGGTGACGTCAGGCATGAGGTAAGAGAATTAAATTTGCTTGGATTGGTGTCGAGCGTTAAAGGAGTGTCGTCGAATGTGGGGAGAAAGAATCATCTCAGGTTGGTATGAGGCTGGGTGTGGGACTTTGCCACACCAGATGTGAGTTCCTTGGGGTTCCTTACCTCAGCCACGTTAGGCATTGGTTGAACAGTGTCGAGCTTGGGCGAGGCAAAAAACTCCCTGTCTTAATGGCGTTGAGCTCAAGGTGTGTGGTGTCATGCGCGGTTTTTTTTTAAAACACTTGTTATATGTATGATTAAATGGTAAACATGGATATATTAGGTGAATCTATTGCATGTTGTATGTTGATTGATGATATTGCTCTATGTATATTGATTTGGGATTATATATATAGATGATTGTATGATTGACTGGTTGATATGCATTAGTATGCTAAAAATTTATGAATGTTGTTAGATTTATCCATTGACCTGTGGCAATGAATATAGATGAATGTTGTTGAGGTGAATGCTAATAGTGCTTAGGAAATTTAGGATTTAGGGTTTATATCTTAAAACTCTTTTTGCTGCACTAAAATGAACTTGATTAGGAGAATGCATGAATCTAGAAAGAAAACTTGCAACAAACATTAAATATGGTTTGATTGTTGAAAGATACAACAAACTTCCAATTATACTTCTATAAATAGAAGCATCTGTTTTATTTTCACCATCATTCTTTGAAAGTTTTTCATTTACAACTAGTGAAGTAGCAACAGGCTTGCGTTTCTCCTTGTGAAACTTCTTCAATATCTCCAAAGCATATTTTCTTTGTGAAATGAATATTTCATCATTTCGCTAAGAAATCTCCATTCCAAGAAAGTATTTCATTTCACCCAAGCTAGTCATTTCAAATTCTTTCTCCATGTCCTTCTTAAATTGGTTTACGGTGTGTTTGGATGAGAAATTTTACAAATTCAAAAAATTTTAAATTTTTTGTATTTGAATTACTTTGATTTTAATTTTTATCATTTTTAAAATATTTTGTCTGGATAAGTCAATTCAAAATTTCTTAAATTTTAAATTGTTAAGTTGGATAAGATAATTTGATTCCATTATGATAAAATTGATTTTAAAAATATATTTATATGTTGAGATTTTTAAATTAAATTTTATAAAAATAAATATTAGCTAATTTTTAAATATTTAATAATTTTAAAAATATTTTTGAATATTCAATAATTAAAAACATGAAGAGATAAGATAAAATATATAAGTGAAATAAGAAAAAAATGAGAAATTTCAAATTCTTACTTTTTCGAGAGAATTTAAAATTCTACTATTTCAATAAATTTCACAAATGTTTGAATTTCAAATTCTTTATAAATTCTCCATCCAAACAAGGTATTTCACCTCAAAGAATTTGAAATTCTACAAATAAATGAATTACTCTATTTAAATTCCTCATCCAAGCACACTCTTAAGGAATTTGATTCATTTTCTATAACCAATAAATCATCAACATACAAAGAGACAATGAGTTGCACTTCATTGTTTGACTTCTTCACATACAATGTGGCTTCATTTTCACTTCTTATGAATTCCTTTTGTAGAAGATAACCATCAATCCTACTATATCAGGCTCTTGGGGTATATTTTAAGCCATAAAGAGTTTTATGAAGCTTATACACTTTATCTTCACTTCTTGGAACCTGAAAACCTTCAGGTTGATCAACATATATGTCTTCACCAAGCAACCCATTTAGAAAAGCTGATTTTACATAAAAAAATGATAAATTTTCCAGCCAAGCTTTGCTGCTAAAGAGATTAGTAATCTGATTGTATCATGTCTTACAACAGGTGCAAAAGTATTAGAAAAATCAACTCCATACTATTAGAAGTAACCTTTTACCACCAATTTGGCTTTAAGTTTGTTTACAGAACCCTTAGGATTGAGTTTAGTTTTGTAAACCCATTTAACACCAATCATTTTTTTATTACTTGGCTTATCAACAAGTTGCCAAGTTTTATTTTTATCAATCATCTTTATCTTCTCCTTCATGGTAGCTCTCCAACTTTCAAATTTAGTAGCTTCTTCATACTGTGTAGGCTCCAATGCAACAACATTACATCTTACATAGATATCCTCCAAGGTTCTTGTACTTCTCACTGGAAATTCAATGTCACTATCATAGTTCTCTTCACCATTTTCAGAATCTTACTCTTGCAGAGTGTCTTCATCAAACAATCCTTTACTTGAGCCTTTTGCTTGATGTTTCTTCCAATTCCATTTTGAAAACTCATCAAAATTTATATCTTTGTTAACAATAGTTTTTTTTTCTCCAAGTTGTATACTCAGTATCCTTTGGTGTTAATAATGTACCCCAAAAAATACCAACTTCACACTTATGATCAAGTTTATCTCTTTTCACATTTGGAACATGAGTGTGACACACACAACCAAATATTTCTAAATGCTCCGCTGAAGGCTTTCTTCCACACCATGTTTCATAGGGTGTTTTACCCTTCAATGCTTTGGTAGGCAATAAATTCAGCAAGTAAATTGAGGTATTTATAGCCTCAGCCCAAAAAGTCTTCGGAAGACCTTTCTAAAAAAGAAAACATCAAGCCATCTCCATCATTGTCCTACTCCTTCTTTCACTCACTTCATTTTGTTGAGGAGTGTAAGGAATAATGAATTGATGTTGTATTCCAACTTGATCATAAAATTTTCTAAATTTCCTTGTTGTATACTAAGTTCCATTGTCAGATTTAAGCTTTTTAATTTGAAAACCAACTTCATTCTCAACCAAAATCTTAAACTTTTGAAATTCAACAAACATATTTGATTTTTGCTTTAAAAAAATACCCAACTCATTCTTGTAAAATCATCTATAAATAGTAAAAAAATACTTGTTGCCATTTAAAGACACTATACTCATTAGACTACACACATCAATATGGAAAAGTTGTAATTTTTCAGTAGCTCTCCAGCTTGCTACTGTAGGAAATGACAATCTACATTGTTTTCCAAATTGACATACATCACAAACATCAACATCATCTTCCATGGAAGGTAAGTTTTGAACTAAACTATTTGAGCTAATTTTCTTCAAGGTGGAGTAACTAAAATGACCAAGTCTTTTGTGCTGTAAAACAGAATCATCTACTAAACTTGGAAAAGCATGCATAACAAGTTACTTTCATTCTATTGGAAAACTTTTATCTTTTGTTGTGATGGACATTGGCTTACACCCAGAAGGATCAAATATGGTGCATTTCATGTCTTCAAAATGTAAAGTATAACTCTTTTGAAGCATTTATCCCACACTTAAAAGATTTTGATTTATCTCAAGTACATATAAACATATGAAATGTATTCAGTACCTGAAGGAGTTTCTATAACAATAACTCATTTGCCTTTGACATCAACGCTTTCTTCATTTCCAACAGTGACTTTTGAGAAGTGAGATTGATCCAATTCCTTGAAAATACTTGCATCATTAGTCATGGGATTTGTGCATCCCTTATCTATAAGCCACACCTTCTTGCTACTGCTTACTAAATAACAAGAAGCAACAAATAATTGTTCCTTATTTTGTTCTTTATGCTCAACAACTTAGGCTTGTTATCCTTGTTGCTTTGCTTTATTTTTACACACTTTCTTGACATGACCAAGTTGGTTGCATGCTCTGCATTTGACTCTACCCCGAACCAACAAAAATTTTCTATATGATTCTTCTTCTTACAACAAGAACAAGGTGGATACTTGTCTTTCCAACTTCCACCTCTGTTGTTTTCTTCTTATTTTTTTTCCCTTTTCCTTTCTTCCCACTAAATAGCTTTTTCCCACCACTATTGTTGCCTTGAAATTTGCCTTTGGTATTAACCACAAAAGCACCTTCAATATTTTCTTCCATCCTTAAGGATCTTCTCTGTTCAGTGGCTTGTAAAGCATTTACAAGTTCTAAAATTGATATATGAGAAAAATCCTTATTTTTTTTCGAGATAGGAGATTTTTTACTCAAATCTCTCTGGAAGAAATACGAATATTTTCTCCACAACTCGTTGATCACTAAGTTCTTCACCCAATAATTTGATTTGTGTAACCACTTTAGAAAGCTTGTCGGAAAACTCCTTCACTGTTTCAGCTTCCTTCATTTTGATAGCTTCAAATTCTCTTCTCAAATTTAGTACCTTCATCCTCCTTGTTCTTTCATTGGCTTGGAAATCCTCCTTAAGTTTGTCCCAAGCCTCTTTTGTTGTATCAAGATTCAAAATCTTGATAAAAACATCGTCATGAACAACTGCTTGTATGATAGCAAGTGCTCTGCCTTCTTTAGCCACTTCATCACTGTGAAATCTTACATGAACCGTTGTTGGGTTGTTTGTTAAAGGAGTTGGGTTGCTTCCATTTTCCACCACTTGCCACAAACTTTGAGCACTAAGATAAGTTCTCATCTTTGCAACACACAAATCATAATTTTCTCCAACAAATACTGGAGATGGAGGTAAAGAACTGCTATTAGAAGCCATTGGTTGAAGGTTTTTTGAGTAGGTTTTGTTGGTTCTCTCTCATACACACAAACTCTATTTTTTAGATTTTTTTCTTTCTCCCTCACAAATCCGAAAAGATTAATGAAGCTCTTGGTACCATGTTAAAAAAGGAAAACAGGTAGATAGGAAGAGTGTAGAGAAAAAATAGAGCAAGACAACTTTTAAGTGGGCATTTACTTTTGCATTCACATTTTCTTTTCATATCAACAAGTTACAATGACTTTTTTAAGTCTGATATTACAAGCTTACAATTCAACAAAATGCATACATAGTTCACTTAGTTGTACAACCCACTTTTACCTATTGCATATTTACTAAAAACATGCTCCAAATCACCTACTTTTTTACCTAAAATAGATTACTAGTCAGACAAGTACAGTACAACAAATTTTGTATTCAAAAATCAAGAAAATTCTCAAAGTCTAACAATATGGATGGTGTAGTGGCTAGAGGGGGAAATGTCGTGTGTGGTGGAGTTATCATGGATAGTCATGGAGCCTTTATACATGGGTTTGCCCAACGTCTTGGAGTGTGTTTGGTAATGCATGTGGAGTTATGGGATATCCTTTATGGCATTCAATTGCTTCAGAATAAAGGTATTCAAGGAAGCTTATTGATTGAATCTGATTTGACATTTGCAGTTAATTTTCTTAGTGTAGGATGTAATAGAGTTCATCTTATGTTTGATATTGTTAACAAAATTAAAAAGTTAATGAATCACCTACAGGTGATTAGTTTTTGTCATATATTTAGACAAGCAAATCAAGTTGCAAATGGCTTCGTCAAGTTGGTCTCATTCTTTAGGGGGAGTCTCAAATTTTCATTAGACATCCTCCTTGTTCTCAAATTTGTTTATTAGTCGATATTTCAGTTGTTACTTTCTTTTATGATTTTTAGTTTGAATTTTTAACCTCCATGTACCAAAAATAAAAAATATACACATAAATATAAATGTTATAGATATAAATTATAGATAATTTTTAAGATAACTATTATGAAAGTTAACAAATTTATTATATATGATAATTTATGATTAGATGATTATATAAAACTGTTTTATATTACCTGTGTATAATTAAAATTTTCCTATATTTATATTACATGTAACTTTGATCATAATATAAAATTTTTAAGCTTTAACATATAAATTGATTTATGTTGCGCTTCGTAAATACAGCTAATAATCGAGTTATTTACAGATTTTTTACCCTAACCGAATCGCGATCCGAATCTAACAAGACTGCTCAACCTTTGACATTGACACTTACCACGATGAAAGCATACTTCAATTTTCTATTATTTTCCCCTATGATCATTCCACTCTTCCCCCACGTAATTCATCGTCAATGTGAACACAAAACATATACCTTGTCGGAAGTTACCATCTAATGCATATTTTGTCTGAGATTGATTCAACTTAAACACAAGTTTCAATTTCAAGTTACAAATATCAGGTATGTATCTATGTCAATTATTTAAATGAAAATTTGAATTGTTTGTAATAATTTTACCTTTTGTTACATGTAGTAATTCTATGCGAGGACTTGACAAAAAAATCAATTTCAAGTTATAGATATCGGGTATGTATCTACGTCAAATACTTGAAAAGATTTTTTTTTTTTTTTGACGCAAAACTCTCATCCTAAATGATACATGATTCTTAAAGAAAGAAACCGTGCAAGAAGTTGCTAGTGTTATTGTCTCAATTTTATTTGGAAAGTTAACAACCATTCTATGATTGATCGGCCAATATACTATTTTCTGCATATTGACTTGAATTAAAATAACTTTTCCACCATTCATTAACTGCATTTTATATTTCGGTCTCGATGACTTCAATCTTTTTAAGGCTAACCTTGAGGAAAAACATAAACAAACAATATTCGTGTGTGAACATTAAATTTACTTTGTTTTCTTTTACTTATATCAGATGTATAAATATGTAATCATTCATTCGCAGATCCACCAAGCACAAGTCTTTAATATTAAGACAAAGACACATAACTAAAGTTTTTAGCCAATGAAAACAGAGAAAAACAAAGGCTCTGTTTCCAAGGTTTACTCACTTGTCTTTTTTTATTTTTATTTTTTATTTTAATGATAGTTTACTCACTTGTCTTAGAGTATATGTACGGGGATTGTTTATAAGCAACCCTCTGTGCCACATTACTGTCATATCTATATTACTGTCATATTAGCTCTGGTCCACTCTATGGGTTGCTTAAATTTTAGCAAAATTGCTTATAAAAATAATTTTGTTAAAATTTAAGCAATCCATAAAATAAGTCAGAGTTAATGTGGCAATGATGTGTTATAGGAGATCGCTTGTAAGCAACTTACTCTACTTAAACTGCACTTTTTGTTCAATAACATCAATTTATTATCTATACCATTCCTACTAAGAAATAGATTTGTTTCAGGGCAGGTTGAGAATGAAAATGGAAACCTGCAAAATGAAGATGTTAAATTTCTTGGCCAAGAAAGGTGAAGTCAACAAGGCAGAAACACCTTTGGATCTTAAGGAAGCATTTTACGAGTTTGCTAGAGGAGGGAACCACATGAAGAAGGACCAACTTCTTCGGTTCATGGTGGAGCACCAGGGAGAAAACATCAGAACCATTGAGGATTTGGATAAAATAGTTGAAAAGTTTTCACAAGTAGGAAGTTCTAGTTCTAGCCCTAAAACTTGCCCCACAAGAATTGTGGATCTGTATAACAAACAAGGGTTAAGTCTCAATGACTTCATTGATTTTCTGCTACTTCATGATTTCAATGGTCCCTTGAAAGACGAGGTTTGCACTATTTCTTATTGTTTCAATATTGAAAAATTCCCCAAACGTGTTATTGTCGTGTGCATTATAATTTATGCCCACGTCTAGTTTATTAATCTTTTGCACATTGCCAAAATCTACCTTGCCTTATCTTGCATTCTTTATTTTTTGGTTCTATACATTTTTATTTACCCTAATCAAAATGTACTAGCAATGTCATATTGTCATTCAATCATAGTTACCTTGTATGAGGAGATTTTGTCTTTTGTTATTATTACCTAATCGGTAGTGTATGAAAATTAAACTAGGCTGATCTCAAGAGATAGACAAGCATAGATTGACATCTGCCAAAATGTTGTTATACATAACTTACAAAATTGATTTGGTATGTTTGTAGAAATTTCTCTAGTCATGACATCTCTTTGTTTCATACAATCTTTCTTTCAATTTTAATGTCTCTAGTTTGCTTGGACCTTTATAAATGAATTTATAAATTTTGACTTTCCTAACAACCTATAAACCATATATCTTTCCAGGTGCATCATGATATGAATGCTCCTTTGTCGCATTATTTCATTTACACCGGACACAATTCCTACCTTACTGGGAATCAACTTACTAGTGAGAGTAGTGATGAGCCAATTATAGAGGCTTTGAAGCAAGGTGTACGAGTAATTGAACTAGATTTATGGCCATCTAAATCTCCAACTAAAGATGGTATTAAAGTGGTTCACGGAAGGTACTAGCTGGTTATTTATATTATATCTTAAAAAAGTTGTTGGCAGAGGAAAAGAAGCAAAAAAAAAAAATTCATGTAAGAGAGTTGGATGATTGTATTCTTATATCTTGTGATCTTTGGAATTTTTTTGAATCAATGCAGGACTTTTACCACTCCAGTCGCAGTAACCAAATGTCTAAAATCGATAAAGGAATATGCATTTTACAAATCTGATTATCCAGTAATTCTAACTTTGGAGGACCACTTAACAACAAAACATCAGGATAAATTTGCAGAAGTAAGCACTCATTGTCAATAACCCCCTCTAAATAAGAAAAGATAAATAGAGGATCTAGTTAAATTCACATGCCTATCATTTTTAATTCCATTTAACCATGATTTTTTCCCTTCAATTCATGTAGATGGCAACTCAAATATTTGGAGAAATGCTTTACTTTCCTCATCATACAAATCAAATGACAGAATTCCCCTCACCCGAATCATTGAAAAAACGCATAATTATATCAACCAAACCACCAAAGGAATATATACACTCTGATAATATCAGCAAACCTGTGCCAAATGGAAGTGAACTGTCTAAAGAAGAATCAAGGGGAAAAGAACTGTCAGATTCTTTGGCTAAATTGAAAATTGAGGGCAGGGTGAGTGAAATATGCATTCATCATTTTATTAAGGAGGAAAAAAAAATAATATAAGCCAAAACAAAAATATGATTATTAGTCATGTGCATTTACAATTTGTTTTTAATGGATAGTAGAATGCTAGTGATGAAGATCACGAAGATACAAATACAAGAGATAACAAACCAAACCAACTAGGTGCACGTCAATACAAACACATGATTACAATCCTTGGTGGGAAAGCAAAAGGTTCTATGATGGAACGACTGAAAGAAGATACTAAAGTTAGACGACTAAGTTTGAGTGAGAAGAAACTTAAAAGTGCTTCTGAGACTTATGGAGCTGAGCTTATTAGGTACCTATCAAACTTATTTGAACATTACCAGTAGCTAAAGAGATATTCAATAACTGAACACGCATGACAAACATATATATGACTTGATACTCATTGTTGTACTTTCTAGGTTCACACAGAAAAATATCCTTAGAGTTTTTCCTAAAGGAGAACGTGTCAAATCCTCAAATTTCAGGCCATACTTAGGGTGGTTGTATGGAGCTCAGATGGTTGCATTCAATATGCAGGTTGGAAAGTTATGACAAATCCATAAAGTAAAGTGTTTCAGATAAAATGGTGTCTTGGTATATTTTGACTTTTATATTGTGGTGCAGTCTAATATAATATGCATGTTGAAATATTACTGAGTCGCATGATTCTTAAATAAAATGTGTCAAGGAGTATTTTTGACTTAAAAGCTTTAAGCTCTTGGGTCAAAAGTAGAGTTTTTGCATAATGTTGTTATCCAAATCTCAAATGTTTATACTAGCGAGATTGGAAATATAAACCTTCCAGGTATTGACATTTGTTTTTGATAGGGGCATGGCAAATCACTCAGGTTGATGCAGGGGATGTTCAGAGCAAATGGAGGGTGTGGTTATGTTAAAAAACCTAAATTTCTTATCCAAACACCTCCGCATGAAGAGGTGTTTGATCCTAAAAGAAAAATGCCGGTGAAGGAGATATTAAAAGTGAGTGTACCCTTACTCACTTTGCTTAAAGGAAATTGGGTTGTTTCATAAAATCTGAATATATTCATGTATTCAACAATAGGTAAAAGTATACAAAGGAGATGGCTGGAGTTCAGATTTCAGTGCAACACACTTTGATCGATTCTCTCCTCCAGACTTTTACACAAAGGTCAGTTGCATAATTCAGGTGGACCTAGTCCTATACAATGAGTGATCTTTTGCCTTCAAATTCAATGCTAGTTTTTTCATTATTAAACAAGGTTATCTACAACAAAGTCCTTTGAACGTTCTTGTCTTTTAATTTTGTAAATTCATTTGGCTAATCTCTTGCTCCACTTTTTTTAAGGCGAGCAATTTCATGTCAAAAAATTATTTTACATATATTTGATCATGAATAAGAGTGTTAAAGAGACAATGTAGTCTAGGAAAAGTGAGTTGTTGTAAAGTTCCTGATACCGAGTTGTACATTTGTAAACTGTTCGATCGAATTGTTGGATAGGTTTGTATTTTTGGAGTGGCAGCTGATTCTTACAAAATGAGAACAAGTGTAAAGATGGACACTTGGTATCCTGTTTGGGATGAAGAGTTTGAATTCTCATTGAGGGTGCCAGAGCTTGCTTTGCTTCAGATAGAAGTAAAGGACAAAGATAAGGGAAAGGATGACTTTGCAGGACAAACTTGTTTGCCAGTATCAGAGCTAAGGCATGGATTTCGGTCAGTGCCTCTACATGACCGAAAGGGAAAGAAACATAAGTCTGTGAAGCTTCTAATGCGGTTTAAGTTTGAAACTTCAAATAAATTATAGATGTCATTTGTTTAAATATGTTGTATGGTAAAGCATAGTCCATGGAAAGAACCTTTTTTAACCAGCTAGAAACAGTAACATAGGATGTCAATATTCAACATCACATGATTTAGTAACATGTGAATATATGATTGTTGTTTGTAATTGATACAGTCAATCAATGGATAATTGCATGTTGCTAACTTATTTTTAGCTGCTTTCCAAATACTTAATTTTACAATAATAAACCAATCCTTCTACCTTTGTCAATAACACACACTAATGGTTATTGACAATTTGTGGTTTTATCTGTTGAGATTCATAGCAGCTGGTTTTCATTGTTATTACAAAATGCTGTGAACAATTGGTAATAAACTCTGCATTTTCTATTGGCAAACATTTTTTTTTACAGGAATAGTGGAATATACCAATAGAAGAACAGAAACACATACATTAAAATCAAAATTATTGTCCAAGTAAAGAAGCATTCAAGCTTAAGCTGACCAATAATTGAAATTGACAATAGGAAACAAATCTCATATGCCCCATAAGAATGGCCACCTGCTTGTAATCCTTTTCCTTGGCAACGAGCTTCCTATCTATGATCTCATTGTTAGGAATGTTATTTTGTACAAAAAAAAAAAAAAAAACTAAATGCAATGCTAGTGTAAAGTACTTCAAATCAATTTTGATAAAAAGATCATGATACTTGGACATCTACATGATTAAAACACCTTATCAACACTTATTATTATTATTATTAATCTTATTACATCACTAATCATATTAATTAGTTATCTTTATTTTTTTTAATATCTTTCTCAAGGTATAAACACTTATGAGTGACCAAGAATCATTTTCCCATAAAAAATTCTGACCAAGACATTGCTGGTAAGTAATGAGACATTATGCATTGCATATTTTCAACAAAAAGTGTCAAATTTTTTAATAATCTCTCCTAAGGTGTAAACACCTTTGGTGTCAAAGAATATTTTCCCATAAAAAAAAAAAGACCAAGACATGGCTGGTAAGAGACATTAAGCATTGCATATTTTCACCAAAAGAGTTAATTTTTATTTTTTTTTATAATCTTTCTTAAGGTGTAAGGTGTCAAAGAATCATTTTCCCATTAGAAAAATCTGACCAAGACATGGCTGTGGCCGGTAAGTAATCAAACTACGCATTGCATAATTTCAGCAAAAAGTGTCAAAAATTTGCACACGTTTTTTAGTCAAAAAGCATAGCTTCTTACGAAAGGCAATAACATTTTTTTTTTAATAATCTATAACAAGCTATTTTAATCAATTTAAAATGTTGTTTTCCTCAAAAACAAGCTCAAAATAAATCATCCATCTTAGAGGGCCCAAAATATCGTATAGTGATTGTGGGTTGGGTCAAGGTAAAACAAAATTTCATTTCTTGTACCGATCCAAACTACTCCAACTCAATTATGGTTGTGTTAATTTTGCGTCATGAGGTTAACATTATTTTAACAAGTTTCATCGCATAAGTCATTTTTTTGTACATCATCGCAATAAGTCATTTAAATTAAATTGTAAAATTATTATATAGTAAAATATTTCCAAAAGATATATATATATATATTATGTCGCATGTTGTACCGCCCCGCCATGGCCGCTACACTGCGCAACACACTTTTAACTACACATATACATATACTGAAACAGTAATATAATATAAACACATCTACATCTCATAAATATTTAGAAATATATATGTTGCTGGTCTAGCAACTATATACAAATATATAGATAAGTATCTACCAATAATCGGTAGTCTACAAAATAAAAACTAACTCCAAACACCACATGTGGCTCCACTACTACTCTCCAGCCTATCCCTACCCTGCTCTCATACAATGTATGATCATCGCAGTCCAAATCATATGGAAACATGCAAGGGTAAACTAGGTAAAATAAAAAACTCAAATAATTAATTATGCAACACATCAACACATAAATTCATTTTCACATTCAACACCAGCAACAAACAACACATATACTACACATCTTAACATCACTTCAACAATACAACACGAATCAACATTGTATCAACACATATGCATCGTCAGACATTTCAACTCGGAGATCTCCTACAACACAAGGTGAGCAGTCTAAGTGGATAGGCCCTACCAAACCGACAACACAGAACCTTTTTGGGCTTGTTAGGTAAACAACAAATTTGGATAACAATCCACAACACGATAACGATTTCTCAGACTTTGCCACTTAAACAAGGAAGTATAGTACTATGTCAGGTTAGGAAAGCTGGGTTTAGGCCTACCACGTCATTAGCTAGCTCAACTAAGTCACCTATGGGATTAGCCTACTGAATATCCTCCAAATACTACAACCCTCTGATACTCGGTTAGGAACTAAGTTCCCGACTTCGTACTTTACTTGAATTGATCGCTTATAATCAGTATAGCTCGACCTGGCCCATATACCGTGGTCGCTTTATACATGTGTGTCTCGACCTTGCCCACACACGGAATCAACTAAGTCCTAGAGGAGAACAACGCATCATCCACTCCAAGAGACAACTTCTCGAGGAGGATTTTTCAACAAATTGTACTCTCAGAGCACCACAACTATCTCAATCCGCACAATGGGATGAGAAATTTCGAAAACATATATTTTAGTCCTAGTGATCAAAAACTCATCATCATAGCTCAATCAACACACAACTCAACAACACATTTCAACTCCACAACTCAAAATAACAACTCAACAACTCATTATATTTTCAGCACAACAACTTAATCAACACACAACTTTTCAACTGATATCATCTTTTACTCAACTACTCAACTTCACAATTAGTTTACAACACTATGCTCAACATGCAGCTCAATATCTCGCAACTCAATCATCACTATTTATATTTGACTTTCTACTCATCATATGTCTCAATGTAACTATACAATTCCACAACACAATTATCAACATATAACCCATCAACATATACAACACCTAAAGTTCCTTATCATACAATATTTCTACACTTATTCATCATCATTTAACAATAAGACAACTCAACCAACAAGCTTTAGACATATAAGTCATTCACCAAGCGAACAACCAACTCATTCAGAAAAGAAATTTATCAGAGTTCCCACGCTCAGCCCAGAAACCCATGCTCAGCCTCAGCCTTCTAGACGCACAACTCAGCTCCCACGCTAAGCCTAGAATCCCATGCTCAGCGTTAACCTTCCAGAAACACAACTCACTCCCACGCTAAGCGCTGGATCCCACGCTTAGCCTCAAAATTTTAGCAGCATTCAAAATTTCCAGGTTAAGCCCCAAAATCCTAGGCTTAGCATCCCAAACCCAGAAAATTCATACCAAGAGATGAACAACTCAAATCTCCCAATCCCCTCATTCCATGCAATGATCAAGACATGCAACCCCCAAATACTTCAAGTATTAACATCATATAATTCAGAAAATCAAAGAAAAAGGACATGCATCCACAAAGATTCAAGAAGATCATCAATTTTCAACTTTGCTTCAATAACAACAAAACCCCCATTTCCACACAAAACCCCTTTGAATCCTCTTCACATTTTGTATATTTCACAAATCTACCAACATAATCCTTCAATTCATTCAATAACACCACACTTTTGAACCCAAAACTCCAAAATCCAAGCTTCCCTTACCTTGGAATGGAGTAAACGACGAACTTCGCACGTCTTTGAGTTTTAAGGAGATGAAGAATGGTTGATGGACAACCTTGGTGCTCACCACCTCATCCTTGGAGAAAAGAAATCAAAAATCAAGGTTTAGAGACTTGAGAGAAAAATGAAAGTGAAGGAGGTTTAGGGTTCTTACACATTGTTTGTTTGGTTCATTACTTTGTTTGTTCCTTGAATCTTGAACCAAACTGTGGAAGAACATATGCATAAAGTTTTGATGATGCCAAAGTATTGAAGAAAATAAAGGTCAAGTTAAAGCAAGTTGATCAATAAGCAAAATCTCAATTTATAACTAGATAAGTCTTGACTACTTAACTTAGTATGTAAAATGAACTTTTAGAATTTGCAAAAATTTCACTTGACCATTAAAATAAGGATTTCAAGAAAACCTAAACTTAATCTTTTTGAATATAAGAATAGGTTGTTTGAAAAGAAAGCAAAGAGTATTCAAAAGATTAAACAAAAATATTTTAACTGAAAAATAAAAATTTTCTATATCTTAAGATTTCATAAACTAATTCAGTAATATCTATATGGTAAAATGTGAATATAATATATATATATATATATATATATATATATGTATATACTTATATTCTAGATCCTATATTTATATACTTGTTCTATTCTGTCTAGTGTTTCCGGTGTGTTGTGATTGTGAATGTAGTGGCCAGTCGGGTCGTTACACTTTAGTGGTATCAGAGCAGGTCGAGTCTAGTACACACTCTTTGGGGGTGGTTCCTTTAGGCTTTTATTGTGTTTACTCTGTGTTGTGATGTCTTGTTGTGTTGTTTGCTGTGTTGATTTATGTGATGAATTGTTGTGTTGCTAATTATTGTTGGGTTGAGTGGTAGTATACTAAAGATGTTGTTAGTTTTGTAGACGATGACTAGAACCAATGAACAGATAGCCCGTGCCATATAGATGATGGTTATGGCTATGCAACAGCAAAATGCATATTTTTCGACCAAGTTATGAAAATAAATTTTCAATATTTGGACTTGGACATGTTAAGATTATATTGTTCCAAGTTAAATAAAAAATAGTATGACTAAATAATTGATAGATTAACTCGAGAATGGTTGTTAGGCGAAATCAAACTCATTATTTCTTCTACCTAAATTAGTAGCTAATATATTTAACACTGTTTCAACCTCAAGTCAATGTACCCATATTAAGTTCGAGGACATAGTTAGATGAGTGTATCCGATATATTATTTATTTTAATGGTAGATGAATCGTTATAGTTGTGTTCTTAAAAAGATGTCTGGAGAATATATAAAAATTATTTTTGACATAAATTTTTAAGTGATGGAAAACTTTAACGTAATAATATTTAAAAAAAATAGAAAAAAACTCTTTTAATATTTTTAAACATTTTAATAAGTTTTAACATAAACTAAACTTTATTAATTACCAACACTTGGATTAATTACCATTGAGCGAGTGAATGCGAATTTGTTTCAACTTAATTTGAGTTCAGATTTTATTAGAAAAGTTATTAGAAATTAAAATTAAATAAAGTTTATTCAAAAATTTAAAAATATTGAGAAATTAAAAAAAAAACATTTATCAAAATAGCAGAGGAGCTATTTTTTTTAAGAGTGAATCACATTCCCCTCCTCTCTTATGTTAAAAGTTATTATAGTTTTCTCCTTCCACAAATATCAATTTATCCATTTTTAAATTTTTTTTTATAACTTCTATTACAAAAAAATTAGTACTAAAATATCATTTACACTAATATCTACTCTGAACTGTAAATATTACACTTTCCTTCCTCCTATGTTAATATAAACACTTTCATCCTTTAACAAATACAAATGTTACATTTTAATCATTTATCTCTTGATGTAAAAAAATTAATAGTTTATCTATTAATTTAGATATTTAATTATTATTTTTAATGAATATTTAAAAGTAATTGTATATTTAAAATAAATATTTTAATTATTTAAATATTTTTAAAGTTATCAAAATAAAAATGATATATATAATATAACAAAATCAAACACATGTGATATTATTTAATTAATGTAGTTAATGTAATATTTTTTAAATAAATATTTAAATAAAATAAATATAAATAAACTTATTTTTTTGATAAAATATTTTTTCATATTTAATAAATATAATATTAAAATACGTATATTAAATATTCTTGGTAAATATATTTATGTTACAAATTCATTATTAAATAAAATATAATTATTACAAAATTTAGTACATTTATATATATCAAAAAATATATAAAGTGCACATATATAATTTATTTTATTTATTTATTATTTCAATAAATCACATTAAATTTAATTATATATTTCATAATTTTTTGTCAAATGAATAAATGATAATGAATTAAAAATATTTCAATATATATTTTAAAATTTTACAATGAATATTTTCTTTTAAAATATTAAGTTAAATATTTTAAATTATATATTTTAATATAATGAAAAAGTAATGATATAATACTCATATTTTAAAGAGATAAAGTGTGATTTATTCTATATTTTAACATAATGAACGGAAGATAATATAATATTTATATCTCTTAAGAGAAGAAAGTATAATTTATTTTAGTAAAGCTAAGCCAACCTGACTTACTTCTAACTCAAAGATTAGTGGGTTTGATATGTTAGTTTACTAGATTTTTTAAAATTAAAAATTAATTAATTATTTTTATTTTAAATAAATAAAATAAAGAGTCGCAATTTTTTCAATCAACAAATCAAGTCAATTATCAATTCAAATGCATATAGAAAGAAAAATATTAATTAAAATTTTAAATAACAACTACATAAAATATATATATAATTTTTAAAAAAATTTAATTATAGCAAATTAAACCAACCAATCGATCATTAAGGTTAAAATTTATTTTGAAAATTTTAATATTAAATTAAATTATATATTTTAACGTAGAGAATGATGAGAGTGTATTATATAAGAGAGTATAACATAATTTATTAATTTTTTTAATGATGTTAAAAATATTAAGAATAGTATTTATTTATTTTATTTCCATAATGGCAGTGCCTTGGTTCGTGCACTCATGTAGGTAGCATACATAATCACACATTCACACGTTGCAATCGCAAACTCCATTCCGCTTCGATCGCCATTTTTCTTCTCCGAAACACACACCAATCACTTCCATCAATTCTTTATTTGTGTGAGCCTTTCGTCCATTTTCGCGATTAGGTTCACCGCCATGGCCACCCACAACTACAAAATCTTCAGCTGCTTCAACAGGAAGTTCACCGTCACCGAGCAGGGCCCGCCGCCCGACGTCGAAAAGGCGTTCTCCGTCTTCACCGGCGGCGCCTCCTCCATGTCCGCCGATCACCTCCTCCGCTTCCTGGAGGAGCACCAGGGCGAAGCGGACTGCACTCTATCGGATTCCGAGGGGATCCTTGAGCAATTGCGGAAAGATCAGGAAAGTGAAATCGATGTCCATGTCTTCTTCCAATTCCTGCTCCACCACAGTTTCAATAGCCCCATCAAATCTCAGGTGAACTCTCTATACTCATGTTTGTTTCCCCAGTTTCTCAATCCTTTTCTTTAGGATCTCCTCAATTTTGCAGTATTTTTGTGTTTTGTATGGATTAATAGTGGAAACGGAAAACAAAGAAATAGGATGAAAGGAAATTAATAAAATTGATTATAAAAGATCAACTTTTCTATCCACATTTACAAGTGAATAATATAAGAACCAACCATGAAATTTATTTTTAAGTTAAAATTAATTACATATAAAGTAAAAATAATTTTTAGAAAAGTTAATAAGAGAGTATATATAAATTAGTTCATAAAAAATTATTTTCTTTTTAAAAGTGTTTATTAAAAATTTATTCAATTATGTCCAAATTTATTTTAAAGTCAAGTAATTTATATTTGAATAATTTGAAATTAGTAATACAATTTAGTATAATTTTTTTAATTCAACATGAAAATAACCTAAAATCATTTAATTCAGAATAAATTTTAGACTAATTATTATTTTTTAATGTGAGACCAAGCATGTTAATATTTTCCTAATTTTGGACAACACATTAAGATAATGAATCCAAAAGTATTCAAGAGAGTTTATACATATTAGATTTAATTAATTAATTGTGTAATTTTTTTTACATTATTATTAAATTATAGATAGATTGTCAATTTGTCATGGTTCTTTACAAAAATTTTAAAAAAATTTGTTTTATGGTTAGTTTATTTATTTATAATAATTAGGTTAAAATAATATTTAGATTGATTTCTATTGAATTGGTAGTGTAAAATTTATATATAAAAACTATATTTTATACTAATTATAGAATATTTATTTTATATACTTAATGTAAAGACATTCATGGAATTGAATTCCGATCGTAATTTTTTTTAAATAACTCTGATCATTAATTAAAAAATATAAATAATTAAATTATTTAAGTTAATAATTTTTTATAAGAATAGTGTGATATCCTCTATCTCACATGTTATATAATACATAATATAATATATAGTTGAATAATCTTAATATAAATAAATTCAAAATTCACATAGGTAGAGGGAATTACATTTTAACATAAACTAGACTTAGCGAAAATAATAATTTACAAAAGAATTAAAATTAAACTACTTAAATTAAATAACATAAATTAAATAGTAACTATTTGTAACTAATTCTTTGGTGTCACGCATCCTATTAGAATAAAACCCAACATTGAGAACTAAGTCTCATTATTGATATTCTCAACATCATATTGATAATTACATACAAAATCCACAAGAAGACGAGACAAAAGAAAAGGAAGTGAGAAATATTTCATTCTGATCCACTATGCAGGAATGTGAACTGTTTAGCTAGACACAAACAACACATATATTAATACATAACATACATAGTTACACATTATCATCATACACAATTCATTCACAACATAACAAACAACAATAGATAAGATCATGATGCATATACAATGACATAAACTACATGTTATCATGCATGTGACGTCAATAAAAACATCACACTTCGACATTGCCGCTAACAACATGCTAGAGTAGTTTAAAAGTACATGTGGGGTCAGACCCTTTATGCACTCTCACTAGAAGGACATATTACTAAGGTTTGGTTAGGATAGCTAGGTCACACAAGATACATTGCATGCGCACGAGGGTAAAACTGAGACTTTCAAATCAAGTTATCCCTAAGGTTGGTTCCCAACCTTTTACACAAGAGACCTTATTTGGTAGTGTATTCCATATCGTATCCCTTTAAAAACATTTTTATACATATAATACATGTCAATCAGACTCAATGCATTACATTCATATGACCTCATAGTTTTGCATATCACATATTTCTCATATCGCATTACTCGTCATTCATAGCCATACATTCATATATAGACATTACAACCTATCTACATCAGTGTCACAAAAACATAATTATAATAATGGGATTCAATAGAAGTATAATAAAGAATTCACAAGTAGGAAGACACTTAGCAGCATATGCTCTACGCTCGATGTGATACCTCCAAAGGACCATGTTGATCTTTGTCTGAACTACGCTCAATGTGACCGAATCCATGCCTAATGAGAATACCACTAATAACTCTCTGGAGTGTCCGTGCCCAATGAGAGTTAGCTAACGCCTGGCGGAAGTGTCATAGGAAATTCCTGGAGCTTCCACGCTCGATGAGGATCATCTAACGCCTAGTGTGAGGGACTCTGAGAGCAAACCTTGTTCTCGACCTTGACGACACCCAACATGTCCCAAGTAGCACCTAGTGACATCAGAAACATCTTGCACAATAGATATACAAAATTTTGACTAACGCATCAATTCACCAAAACATATCATTTAATTGATAAATATATTCTATAGTAAGTAACTTAACGCCCAATATCATCCAATTCACATATACAATTGATATCTTTCCTTAAAATCACACCAAATTCTCTTAGGGTTTCTCATAGGAACTCATATAGATCTCAAATCATATAATTATTATCCAAAATCATAAAATTAATCACACTATCAAATAATTCATGCCACTAATTATGAGTAAGAAGAATATGGAGAAAAACATAAGCATCAGGGGAAACGCCTCATATATAGACATACAACGTACATGAGATTAGAGGTCAATCCACTATTTGACATGCAAACTCACACTCAGAGTGAGGTGTCTCACTCCACTCTTACTTAAATAAGTTCTAAAGGACGAGTGCACGACTCTAGGTGATTTTCATCCTGCTCCTGTTCTCCGAATTCTAAAGCGTGTACATGAAAATAAAGAGTTTTGAAACACGTACGTTAAAATAGAGGTTGAAAGAGTTTGATTAAAAAACTCATTTTTTTTATAAAAAAAACTAACATCCTTTTAATCCTTTAGTTAAAATATACAAACTATAGTTACAAATTCTCTATCTTTTTAATAAAATATTATACTATCTTTTAATAAAATATCATATATTATATTCTAAAATATATTACATAACTAAAACAAATATTTAACAATCCCTCTTAATAAAATAAAATATTAAAATTATTAATAAAATACTTATATTATTATTATTATTTTTATGATAACTAAGGTGTTACAAATAGATTCATAAATAAACAAGCTTGTGGGGAGACATTCCCCACTAAGTTTTAATTTTTCTTAACATCATATATAAATATTATAGTATATTATTTTTACTAATAATTTATATTTTAATATTATACAAAAGTTAAGTTTTGTTTTTTTAATGATAAACAAGTTGTTACAAATAGATTCATAAACAAGTTTGTGGGGATACTTTCCCCACTAAGTTTCAATTTTTCTTAACATCATATGTCAATATTATATCATATTATTTTTACTAATAATTTATATTTTAATATTATACAAAAGTTAAGTTATCCTATCTACTACATTAATATTATTATTCTTCAATCTTTAAGATAATTTTTTACACCCCACCATTTTAAAAAAATATTATAATATTTATACTTAAATATATTTTTAGTTCTTTAAATTTAAGATAAATTTATTTTTAATTTTTTAAATTTAAAATTAATTTTTTTAGTCCCTTTAATTTCAATTTTTTTTAGCATTTATACTATATTTTTGTTAGACAATCTGCTAAATACTGTTACATAAAATTTACTTATTAGTGTTTCTGTTAGTGAAAACATGACAAGTTTTTTTTTAAAATTAATTTGTCATTTTTAAATATATTATTGATAATTTAAGAGATTAAAATAAGTTTTTTAAAAATCATAAAGATTAAAAATAATAATTTTAAATTTTAAAAAAAAATTATCCTAAACTTAAGAGACTAAAAATATATTTAAACATATTATTTAAAAAAAATAACACAACTTTTCACTAATATCTCACTTCTTCATCTCTCCTTAAACAATATTTTTATAAAAAATAAATGAGTTAGTATATCAAAACTTATCTATATATATTTCAAGTCTCAGACTTTCAAGTTTAACTTTGATACTACTACAATTTTATTTTTAACTTTTATCTTCAACATAAACTAGTTTAATTATTTATGTAAGACGAAAGATAAACGATAGAATGTTTGTTTAATTACTTGTATAGGGAGATTTTTGATAATATTAAAAATGAAAAATTATCTAATATTTTTAAAATCATAGAAAATAATTATATATATATATATATATATATTTGTACTTATAAAAATGTAATGGTATATGATACAAATTCATGTATATAAATATTGTCCCAATACTAAAAATTTCTCTATCCGTGACTCACTTTTGATAAATCGTATTAATGAATAACCTGATATCATAAATAAATAATTTTATTAAACAATTGTATAGAAATATTTTAGGTTCTTTGGCCGTTTAAGGATTATAGAAGAGTTTTTCCTATTAAAACAGTTAGGTAAAGCTGGTTAGTTTTTGTTTTTTATTTTTCGATAGGTTGGTGAAGCAGAGTTAGTTTGGTTGAGTTATCTTGGTCGAGTTGTTTCAAGTCCTAGGGCTAGATGCATACTCTCCACGCCCTTTTAGATGCAAATCCAAATGGTTTTACACAGTTCAGAACAAATTTGTTAATCTGGCGTAAAAAATTATTTTCCTGGTCATTTTTCTGTAATTTCGCGTCTGCTTTGGATTGCTTTTTCACTGCTCAGCAGTCAGCACATGCCAGTTACTGCTGCTCTGATTTGCATGAATACCGCGATTCACACTTACGTATCAGCTCACAATTATATGATCATTATCTTTATAAATTTCGCTCCTCTTAGAAAAATTATAAAATGATATCTATTTATTACGTAATAACATGAGAAAATGTGACTTGTTTAATGGTTCAGATAATTTAAAGTTTGATAAAATTAATTTGAATTTCTTTTTTGAGAAAGTTTTAAGCTATTAAATATAATTTGTTTCAATATATTTTGAATCCTTTAAACTTATGCTAAATTTATTTTTATTTTTTAAATTTAAAATTAATATTTTTAGTCTTTAAAATTTTTAAAAATCTTATTTTAATTCCTTAAATTATCAACAACATATCCAAAAGTAACAAATTGAGACATTTATATATTATTAACTAAGTTTAATATGATGCTTTTACTAATAAAAATACCTATAAACTAATTTTATACAATAAAATTTTCTCTAATAAAATTTTAGTATAAGAATTAAAATAATTTTTTTGAAATTACATAAACTAAAAAATTAATTTTAAATTTGAGCGACTAAAAATAAACTTATCTTAAATTTGAAGGACTAAAAATATATTTAAACATAGAATTTAAATATGTATTTATTTTAACCAAATGGTGACACTTATTTCAGCTTTTTTTTAAGAGAAAAATGTTATTTACAAAAAATTGTATTTTTTAATAAATGAAAATCGAAAAAAATAAATTAAAAGATACTTATTTATTTATATAGTGATTTATAACAATTTATGCATTTTATTTAACTAATTGAGTTAAACTCTATTAATTAAAAAGAAGCTATATATTTGAGATAACAGTTGAAGTTTGTGAACAATTTATCTAAAATTAAAAATTATTCTTCTGAAAAAATAAATTATTTTCATTTATCTAAAACTTTAAAATCTATAATTATTTTTAATAATTTTTTCTCTTGTAATTAATTTTCCATGTAAAAGCTGATTTTTTTAATATCTAAAAAAAATTAAATATTTCAAAAATATTTTTCACCAAATTTATTCAAATAAAAGTTTATTATGATTCAATAATCAATTATACAATACACACTCTAAAAATATCTGTAATGTGCGTTATTCTAATTTCACTCATTGCCTTTTTATTCGTGAAAACTAGTGGGACCCATCTTAATTAAAAAGGATCGAAGGAAAATACTATTAAGATAAGAAACTGGACCCATCTTAACAAAACAATTTAATGGAAAAAAAGTTAAGGAAGTAAAAATTAATCATTCATCCTACACTCTATGGCCTGCTCGTTTATGTTGGGAATCACTTTCTCTGCAGTTAATATTAATTTGGTCACCAATATTAGTTGTACAAATTTTAACTAACTCATTTAATTTAGGCTTTAGTGGAATTTATTTTGAGATAAGTAAAATCCTTTTACTTTTCTTATTAATATTATATTACATTAGTTCAAATGGAATTAAAGATGTCAACTTGACTAATCTAATCTTAAACTTAATATATACCAATATACGGGACAATTTGATTAAATGATAGTGTAAAAGACTTTCATATTTTCATATATGTATAATTTTTTTTAATGTTTGATATAAAATTCTTAAAACATTATATTTTAGAATTAATTCTACAAAATATAAAGGAACTAAATTATGAAATTGAATTTAGCTTTCCAGCCTTTACTTTAGGGACAGTTTCTTTATTACACGACTTCATCATGAGCAAGGACGGAGCCAAGGGGGGACCTACGGGTGCCACGGCCCCCCCAACAATTTTAATTTTTCTTTATATTTTTTTTTATATGATTTTGATAATTTAATTTTAATTTATTATAAATTATATATTATTTATTCTCGGCCCCCAGTATTGAAATCCTGGCTCCGTAAAATTGACAATGCAAGCATATAACTAACATTGAATATATGATGGGCGGTGGCCTGGTCTAATATCATTCATTACACTTGTCAGATGATAAATCCTAATAAACCAAATATAAAAAAATCCTAATAAATTAATTAGTTAGAGAAGTTATATTTATAATGAAGAATACTCCTTCGCAATCATGTGTAAAAAAAATTTGTAGATATACATATATATATAATATAAGAATTTAATATATATAATAAAAAAGAAACATAATTTTATTAAAAATAATATATTTTATTATATATAAATGTTTTTCACTCATACTTAAATATATATAATTAAAAAAATATTACGTGTGAATAGACTTTTAAGTTTTTGATAAAAATTGAAATTTTCTTAACTTTATTTCGTTAAATAGAAATTTAAGGATTGATTTTTTATTTTTAGAAATAACAAAATAAAATTAAAATGTCATTGTATTTTTTTTTTCTCTTCACATTAAAGTTGTTTTTTAATTATTTTAGCTCTCTCAGCATTGCCATAAATTCCCTCAAGGCCTAAACTCCCGCAGGGCCGGCCCTGATCTGATGCCACGGTAACCCCCAACTAAAAGCAGAACTTGAATTTAAATAAGGAACATATAATCAATAGACGGAGAAATCATAGAAACTAGTACAGGTGATGATTTCATTTATGAAAATATGTATGCACACGTTCATTTTTTTTTCTACCTCATACCATATTTACAAATGCAGCAAATTCCCAGAAGGAATGAGGATATATTTGGGAGAAATATATACTGTGCACTAACCCAATCAACACTATATAGTCATCTACTGCAAGAATATCTCCTGAATTGAATCAAACTTTTGGAATTGTAATGTTTCATTTGTTAATGTGACAATGATAAATGAACAATCAATAGTCATACACTTGAACCACTGTCCAAAATTAAATCTCCAATGCCATCTTTGTTAAAACCCATTTACAACATCAGAAACAGAAAAATATGTAAGAAAGGAATTCATTAAAGAAGTTCAAGTTCAAGATTAGTAGTGTATGATGTATTTATTTATTTTAGTGAATTTAGTAGTCTTATTCTATGGCATTTAGTATGTAAATGTTATATCCCCGTTTTAATGGGGAGTAATTTTGGACTTTGATGCATATTTTCTAAATGACTGCAGACAAACGAACAATGAATATGATTCAGGTCTTTTCTTGACAATATGAATGAATGATGTCTTATTGCAGGTACATCATGATATGAATGCTCCATTGTCTCATTATTTCATATACACTGGGCACAATTCCTATCTGACTGGGAATCAACTGAGCAGTGACTGCAGTGATCTGCCAATCATAAAGGCTTTGCAACGAGGTGTGCGAGTAATTGAACTAGATTTATGGCCAAATTCAGCCAAAGATGATATCGATGTAGTTCATGGAAGGTGCTAGCTGATTCCCTTTTTAATCTAGCAAAACTGGATGATGTTCCTTCTCAAATCTTTTGATCTTGTAGTTTCGTGATATATTTATCATGAAACTCTATAAAACTAATGGACATTTTTCTGAATTCTTTCAGGACTCTTACCACTCCTGTCACACTTATCCGATGTTTTAAGTCCATAAAAGAGTATGCTTTTGTTAAAACTCATTACCCACTGATTATAACTTTAGAAGATCACCTTACTCCAGATCTTCAAGCTAAAGTTGCAGGGGTAGGTCTCCTTTTTATTCCCCTCGCAAGCATCTACTTCACATCCCTATTTCATTAGGTGCTGAATGTGAATTTCCATCTTGTACGTAGATGGCAATTCAAATATTTGGAGAAATGCTTTATTACCCTGAGACAGATTCTCTGACGGAATTCCCCACACCAGAATCATTGAAAGGTCGAATTCTTATATCAACCAAACCACCAAAAGAATTTCTTGAATCCAAACAAAGTGATGACAAGGAATCAGCTGACAAGGGTTCATCATCGCCAGACCAAATTAATGAACCGGAAAATGATGATAAGGTGAGTATATCGACAAAATTGAATTACGTTTCCCCCTAAATCTATAGAATTGTGACTTGAACATATGACCTTCTACCTAAATCCTAACCTCCCAACTTGAGCTATGTTATGCTCTATTGACATTTGATTTATATAAATTTATACACTCTGCATGTTTATGTCATCCTTTTCTTCTTAACTGAGAAAGATTTGAATGCATATGATAAAAAATCACACTACCAGACTGCACCTGAGTATAAACAGTTGATTACAATTCATGCTGGGAAACCCAAGGGTGACGTACAAGATGAATTAAAAGCTGTCGGTAACGTTAGGCGCTTAAGCTTGAGTGAACAAGCCCTTGAAAAGGTTTCTGAATCTTATGGAGCTGATATTGTTAGGTATTTTTCTATCAGTGGAACTTTGTAATGGCAAATGCAAAGATTTATATACTTTGGTAGTTTAAAACTTCCCAATTATAAGACATGCCTTTTATGCCTTTTTCCAGGTTTACGCAGAAGAATATTCTCAGAGTGTATCCAAAGGGAACACGTCTCAACTCCTCAAATTACAGGCCACACATAGGGTGGACGTACGGAGCTCAGATGGTTGCATTTAACATGCAGGTTTGAGACTAATGACCGTGTCTTTATTTTAAGGGTTATCTCAAGAGTTTTTATTTTCTCGGTCTTGATTCACTTTATTTAATGTTTTTTTGCTGTACTACCGTTGGTATTTGTTTTATCTCTGTTTAAGTGGATTTTCAAGCGGCAAACTAGTGAAGCAAGCTTACATGCCTATTGAAATAGCTTAAGTTGTGCATCCATCTACAGTGTTTTCTTCCTTTCTTAATCTTCAATAACATTACTGACCTGCTACTGTGTTGTTTCCTTTATTAGGGGTATGGAAAATCACTCTGGTTCATGCAAGGAATGTTTAGAGCAAATGGAGGGTGTGGTTACGTGAAAAAGCCTGATTTTCTAATTGAACAAGGTCCACAAAATGAGGTTTTTGATCCTAAAATAACATTGCCAGTGAAGAAAACATTAAAGGTGAGATGTTATATTGAAAAGGAAATCGGTTAGTTTGGTGACATCTTCTGAACATCCCCCACTTTCTGTAGGTAAAAGTCTATATGGGGAACGGTTGGAGCTTAGATTTCAGCCAAACAGACTTTGATACTTACTCACCACCAGACTTTTACGTTAAGGTGAGTTGAGTAATTATGCTAATATTGCATATTAGGAATCACCAATCTCCAATGAATATTTATTGGTGCGACTCGGGAGACATTTTGCAATTGGATTTGAAGATAGGCTTAATTTATATACCTAAATATTGGTTAAAAATCCTGTAACTGTTTTTACTTTTTAACCTACCCTCCCCTACAACTTCATTTCACACACTAAGGGTTTTTTTTTATATTTTTTTTTATTTTTTATTTTTTATATATAGTTCTGATCAGGCTATATTGTAAAAACTTTTGGTTGGTCATAGCTAGAATTCTGAGTAAAGAGAGACACAAGTTTATTATACTTATCCTAAGTATTTGATCAATTCGTGTAACAGGTTTGTACTATTGGGGTTCCTGCTGATATGGCCAAGAAGAAAACAAGTGTAATTTCAAATGATTGGTTTCCCATCTGGGACGAAGAGTTTGATTTCCCTTTGACTGTTCCTGAGCTGACTTTGCTCCGAATAGAAGTTCGAGAGAATGATAGACATCAAAAGGATGACTTTGCTGGACAGACGTGTTTGCCAGTCTCAGAGATAAAGTCTGGATTCCGGTCAGTCCCTCTGTATGATAAAAAGGGTGACAAATTAAAATCTGTGAAGCTTTTATTGCGGTTTCAGTTTAGATAAATTATAGGACCAGCCATATAATAATCTTATATAATGGATACGAGGTCATTGTAATGATAATTATCTTTATCTTTAGCTGCTTGCAATTGTATTTTGGGTTTTACTATGTTATATTTTCTGCACAATCAACATCAATACAAAAAAAGTATCAAGATTTAACATGTATTTGGATAAACATCAATTAGCCACGTCTGATTTAAAATTCATGTTTAAGATGGAGAAGCCCCTACTTATAACTTTGATTTAAACGTGAAAAATCACGTCTTTAACGTGTGACCGAACGCACAGTTAAGAACTTCCAATATTGTCACAAGGCCTTTTAGATTACACTGATAGCGAACACGAGATTATTTAAATTATGTTCCACAACCACAATTTCAGCTTCAATATCAATGGTTTTTGTCCGTCTACTTGTATCACGACACAATTGCGGTTTATCCATAATTTTCTGTAATATCAAGGATTAAAATGAAATCACAATCACAAACTTAAAACATTTCCTGAAACCAAAAGGGCATAATATAGGTTCGAAAGTAATGTCATACCCTCTGAATGAAAAAAACTTATCCATGAGTCTAGGTTGATGGGGGCCTTTCATCCAGCAACACAATGGTGCATACCATCTTTGCTTGGAAAGTTTGTTTTCCTCGAGAGTGAAACTCTCCAATCTCCATGACCCACTTTATCAGTATAGGTGTGATGGACCTCACGGTACAATTAAGGGTGTGTTGATACCTGTTTGCACACAGTTCAATGCAGTTGAACGTGATTAGAAGAAATCGATAGATTGGCGTTGAACGGTTTTCAACGGAAATACAAACACCAAATCACGTGCTAAGATGCATTATTGATTTGCTCTCCTCTTCAAGAAGTTATTATATAGATCAGCAAGTGTTCATAATAATACTTAATATCACTTTATAATTTCATATAACAAATACATTAATGACTTATACAAATAACAGGGAAAGTATTAAAATAAAAAGATCAACATAAAAAATAAAGATTAAAAGAAAATTATTACATATTTTTATTATTTGAATGTGGTATTTATTTATTTTTGTTACAATAAGTTGATATAACTTATTTTTATTAAGTGTGTTCATATTTTTGAAAAGAAAGTGTTATTTTTGATAGAATTTAATATCAAAGACGGATATAAAACTTTAATTTTTAATTAAAGAAGACAAATATAAAACAATTTATGGAAATACTTATTTGATTTGATTATTCTTTTGTGTACTGATTTCTGAATCAACGTCTTGCTATTAAGATAAGCATAAATAATAGTAAGATAGAAAGAGAGTGATAAAGTAGTAAAAGTGAGGTCAGAAAGAGAACGTAGGTTTGAACAAAGAGTGGGAACTGCCAAGTGCCAAACATCTAAACGATTGGAGGCTGAAGTGGGTCCCTCCCATGCATTCGGAGTCTGGAAACATCCAAACGTATCTTACGACAATCTCTTGAAGGCCATCAAACACAAGTAACGTATCCATTCTCCGACAAAAAAGTTGTCCTAAACACCTTCTTCACACGCCGCGTACGCGTTCACCACGATACTTATCTTCTTCAAAGGATTGGTAGAGAGTAGAGAGAGTGTAAAACATGCCCAAACAGACTTATTACAACGTATGCTTCTGCTTCCGCCGCCGCTTCAGGCTCCCCGTGACGGAGGCCCCGCCGGAGATAAGGACCCTTTACGACCGTTACTCCGACGAGAATGGCGTCATGACAGCTTCTCACCTCCAAAGTTTCCTTGTTGAGGTGCAGAGGGAAGAGAATACCACTGAGGAGGAAGCACAAGCCATCATTGATGGCCACAAGCATCTCAGTATCTTTCACCGACAGGGTCTCAATCTCGAGAGCTTCTTCAACTATCTCTTCAGTCCCAATAACCCGCCTCTCTCACCTTCTCCTCGGGTACCTCTCTTTGGATTCATTTGGTTTCTGCAAAATTGTTTTTTGTCTCTCTTCAACTCTTAATCCACGATTTTGGTTACCCTTTTATGCAGTTTTAGTTTCTCAATTTTTTAAATATCTGCAAATTTGGATTACATGTTAATAATTTCAGAAATATTGTTCATGCCGAAAGTGAGAACTCAGTAATATTTCATGTTGCCATGCTATTGTATGCATGTGGCATAACAATTATCACCTTGCATATATCATGTATCAATGCATTACAGTTGTGCAAACCTGATTGTTGAATCAAAAATTGCAAAATTTTCAAAATTGGAAATCAAAATTGCCTAACTAAAGATAGGGACCAGAATTGAAGATAAATTAAACAAGGACTTAAAAAAATGCAATATAGCCTTTATATATAGACACACACACGCTTTCCATTTGTGAATGATTGCTCTTATGCTTGTTTTAGTCTATGTTCTATGTTGTTATCTAAACACCCGCTGTTGGTATTATATCTTCCATCTGAATTTACTGCAAGTAATTGTTGGCTTTCAATAGGTATTGAATTATTGATATTATATCGTGTATGAGATTATGTGTACTCTCACTATACTCTGTTGTTCTGATTATGGTATATTTTTCTACTATTTCATTTGCAGGTGTACCAAGATATGACTTCACCTTTGTCTCATTACTTCATTTATACGGGTCATAATTCCTATCTAACTGGGAACCAGCTTAGCAGTGACTGCAGTGAAGCCCCCATCGTGAAAGCACTTCAGAGAGGTGTAAGGGTGATTGAATTGGATATATGGCCTAATGCATCAAAAGATGATGTGGATGTTCTTCACGGAAGGTGAATTTACTGGTTCAATGTTGCTGACTTTTTAACATGAATTGAAGGGATTTTCCTTGTTTCCCTATCCCGTCGACATGTAACTCATGTTTTCTTTCAAAGAAATCAATTCATCCATTTCAGAACATATTATTCATTTCAGTTATCTGTTTCTACTTTGTGTGGTCTAGGATTAAGCACTCATTGGCTAGAGAATGAAAATTTTCCATGGAAATAATATCTCCAACAATGTGATGACTGATGAACACTTAGTCACCTATTTACATGCAATCTGGCGTAGCGGGAAAAATGATATGATTCCAACATATTATTACTAACAACAATTGGAATTTAGATTTTTTTCCTAAACATTTTGAAATATAGTTCTTTACATATATATATATATATTTTTGTAACACAGGACTTTAACATCTCCGGTAGCGCTCATCAAATGTTTGAGGTCTATTAAGCAGCATGCTTTTGATGCCTCAGAATATCCAGTTGTAATAACGTTAGAGGACCACCTTACTCCCGATCTTCAGGCCAAAGTGGCTGAGGTTAATTACCTGGAGTTCTCTAGGAATTCAAAACAGTTTTTCTTATTCGTATAGTTGACACTTGATGTTCTATTCAAATTTTTAGATGATTACTCAAACATTTGGAGACATGCTATTTTGTCCTAGCTCAGAAAGCTTGAAGGAATTTCCTTCTCCCGAATCACTTAAAAGGAGGATTATTATATCAACCAAACCGCCAAAGGAGTACCTTGAGGCAAAAGAAGCACAAGAAAGGGAGGAGGGACCACTAAAGGGAAAGCCGGCAGATGATGAAGAAGCATGGGGGAAGGAAGTTCCTAGTTTGAGAGGTGGCACTATCTCTGATTACAAGGTCTGATACTAAGTCATTGTTGTGCATTAATTGCCTCTAAATTTATTTTTTTAAGGGAGGGATTGGTTGATTCATTTTCTGGCTTACTATGTTTTACAGAACATTGGGGATGAAGACGATCTTGATGATGAGGATGATATTGATGAAGCAGCAAAGTCACGTCAAAACACATCAGACGAATACAGACGTTTAATTGCCATTCATGCTGGGAAGCCTAAAGGTGGGTTAGAGGAATGTCTCAAAGTGGATCCTGATAAAGTGAGACGTCTAAGTTTAAGTGAGCTACAGCTTGAAAAGGCTGCTGAAACTCATGGAAAAGAAATTGTGAGGTATTGTTAACTATTTCCAGTTAGTCCTTTTGAGATTAACCCATTTGCGTGTGCTTGGTTGCTCTCAATTTGCTATAAATTAGTTATAAGTTATAACTGTATTTTTTGATGCAAATGTAGTAAAATTTGACCGTTGTATGAGTTTTTATTTATTTATTATTATTATTATTATTATTATTTTTTTTATATCTTCTATGGTTTCATAAGAGATATGAATCAGATGCAATACTAGATAGTCCTTGATTATGATTTACTTACAGCTTTAATCTCCTACTTGTACTTTTGCTAATAGCACCTATCTATAGAGTAAGTGGTCATATTAGAAAGTTCCGAGTGTATTATGTTTAAGGCGGTATACTGAATGGTTTTTTCATTCTTTGTAAATCGAAACACATCCAAAGCCCTTGTACTCTATTTAGCTTTGAAACAAATCCATAGCAGGATATTTTGTTTATTTGCAAATGAAAAACATAAGTATTTATTTCTTGGTTGTGGCAGGTTTACTCAACGGAATATGCTGAGAGTGTACCCAAAAGGTACTCGCATTACCTCGACAAATTATAACCCATTGATTGGGTGGATGCATGGAGCTCAAATGGTTGCGTTTAACATGCAGGTTTCTACTTCTTCCTCCCCCTTTTTTCTATTTCATTTTTGTATTTGATTTCTTGAGAGGTGAGAGGAACTTGCCAACCTTCAAACTAACAAGAAGATACTACACTAAACATGTGAGGTCTAGAATTGTGACTTTTGAAAATTTGTACTGTTGAGGATAATGAGCGTGTCACACGCTTTTGGGCTTTACACTTCATTTACTCCCATGTAAATTGGTTATATTGCAAAGTCACGATCGAACATTTGATGAGAAACTAAAAGAGATAGAGGTGTAAAGGGAGGGCTAAAAAGAATGTGAAAAACTCCGTAATTCAAACTTTAAGGATGATATTTTTTTTGTCAATGACTTCAGTTATATCATGACATTAATACTAAGGTCAAGAAAGATGTCCACTAATCAGTTTTCATTGTTGGTGGTTCCATTCCATGGCAGGGCTATGGGAGATCTCTTTGGTTGATGCATGGAATGTTCAAAGCCAATGGCGGATGTGGTTATGTTAAAAAACCAGATTTTCTATTAAAGACTGGTCCCAATAATGAGGTCTTTGATCCTAAAGCTCATTTGCCTGTGATGACTACTTTGAAGGTGAAAGCTTTACTACCTGGAAATTTGAGTGATGTTCCTCTTTTAAGTGTCTCTAGCTTATTTCCTAATAAAGCTCATACTTTTCTTACTCTCATTTAGGTGACTATATATATGGGGGAAGGATGGTTTCACGATTTCAAGCACACGCACTTTGATCAATTCTCACCCCCTGACTTCTATGCAAGAGTATGTTAATAATCTATAGATCATTAATTATGTTTAGTTTTTGTTAGGAACCAAGAATTAGGAAAGAGAAAGAAAAGAAAGATTTTATTGAATATATTAAAAAGAACACAAATTAGGAGAGAAATATCTTCTTGAAGGGTTTCCCTTCACAAAGGATTTCTTCTTTCACAAAGAGTTAATGCTCAATTTACAAAAATGTGAACAAATGTTAATGCCTCCTCTCTATCAAGTAATCTCATATTTATAGATGTGATGGACCGAGTCCATGATATCTTTCTAACTAATAACTATTCTAATTCCCATTATTCTATATCCTATCAGTTTCATTGATTTAACATCCATATTTGCCTCCTTGCAATTTATAGCATATGGTACCTTCCCTGTAGTTTTTTGACAACCTCTTATGCAGGTGGGGATTGCTGGAGTCCCTGATGACACGGTTATGAAAAAAACTAAGAGTGTAGAGGATAATTGGTTGCCTTCATGGAATGAGGTATTTGAGTTCCCACTCACTGTTCCAGAACTGGCTCTACTTCGTGTAGAAGTTCATGAGTATGACATGTCTGAGAAGGATGACTTTGGTGGCCAAACGTGCTTACCTGTGTGGGAACTAAGAAGTGGAATTAGAGCAGTTCCACTATATTCCCGCAGAGAAGATAAGTATAACAGTGTGAAGCTTCTCATGCGCTTTGAATTCATTTGAATTTGTGCATGCTTCTGCTTCATGTTTTGTACAGTCATTACAATGTTATGGTAAGAGTTTGTATGTAGCTGTGTAATATTGTAAATGTTGCTTATTTTGAAAGATACTTTTTATTTATTTTGTCTTTTACTGAAAATATATCTAAGGGAGTGAGTGAGACTAGTGTATGGGGATACTGATGTATTGGGAAGTGAGAGAGCTGTCATTTGTGTAACTGTGTTGTAACTTGTAAGGCTTCGTATTCTGATATTCAATTTATATAGTATAAACCAGAGGGCTTTGGTTTGAAAGGCTGGCTAATTAGTAGTTTTTCATTCATTACTGGTTCATTCTTTGCATATTTTTGCTCTTTTTGGATGCAACTGGATGCTTTACGTTTATTCCATTACCGACGTCTTTACATTCTAAATTTTTGAAAATATTTTTTTTTCTACTAATTTAGATATTTAAAAAGTGAAGGAAATATATATATATATATATATATATATATATATATATAATTTTTCACTTAATAACTTATTATTTATATTAAATTTTAATTATTTAATCATTATATTAAAAAATATATTTTATTATATAAATTTAAATTAATAACATGCTTATGCGAATGTAGAAAATTGACCACATCTGTTCAAATTACAAGAAAATGCTTGAGTGGGAATTCGGCGAAGATTTCATAAATGATAACTTTGAAGAAGAATGCATAAGGTACGTAATGGAGTTTGAAATGCAACAAACAAGCAATACTGGTGTGCTTAAATATAAAATGAACTCACATAGAAGAAGGACATGAACATTAAATATATTTACTATATGTAGAACTGTAAAATATTGAGTGCATATCGTATTTTATGTAATGGATCTTATCCTAATTGAATGCTCCATTTGAATATATACACGTTAACAATATTTAAATTTAATCAAAAGTAAGTGAATTAATAAATTACACTAATTTAAAAGTAAGTGAATCCGTGTTAAAAAAGGTATAAAATGGCTAAAATAAAAATCTGAACGTTTTCTGTTTTTGTTTTTGAGAACCAAAACATTAAAAGCAATAACTAGGCAACAACAACACTAACGTAAGTAACGAGATTACGAGAGTCCCATCCCAGGTGGTGTGGATCTCAGCGCTCAGCAGTGCCACCCAACATGACATCACCGTGGAATCACCAGCCGCCCCCGCCCCTCTCTGACTCCGACTCCGACGGTGGCGACGATTCCTCCGCCGCGGAGCCCCTCCGCCACTCCGACCTCTCGAACTCCATATTGAAGCCGTACCTCGCCCTCTCCGGTCCCTCCGGCGGCGACCTCTCAAAGATCCAATCTTTCCTCACCTCCTCCTCCGCCGGCGCCCTCTCGTGCCTCATCTGCCTCGAACGCATCAAACCCTCCGACCCCACCTGGTCATGCTCCTCCCTCTGCTTCGCCGTCTTCCACCTCATCTGTATCCAGAGCTGGGCCCGCCAGTCTTCC